GAGAGAGAGAGAGAGAGAGAGAGAGAGAGAGAGAGAGAGAGAGAGAGAGAGAGAGAGAGAGGTGGTTCTGGGAATCGCGCTGTGTCGCCTCTCTGGCGTTCCGATCAGCGCAGCCCAGTTATTGGAGCCCCTCACTGTGGGTGGGGCACAGGAAATGATTACTCAACATGACTACATGTGGGTGGGCCTGGGATATAATGCCATGCCACACAGATGGTAAGTCATACAGCAACACAGGTACTAGCCAAATGCTCCAAGTGAAAAATACAAACCCACCTGCGATCGTTTTTCACTCGGGCTTTTAAAAGCAAAATGTGTGGCTTACAAACAAACACGAAACAACAGAAGATGATTTTCATAGCTCTCTGGTCTGGAAAGCTAAAACTGAGGGCCCTAACAACTTGCTGTCTGGCAGAGCTACTTCTTACACATATGCTGTTTCACAATACCCTCACAGAAGCCAGGAAGGAACGTTTGGGGTAGTTTTAAAAAAATCTGTTTTGAGATTAATTTTTATTTTATATGTATGGATGTTTTGCCTGCATCACCTTGATGCAGTACCCATAGGGGCCAGAAGAGGGCAACAGACCTCGGGAGACCTGAGTTACAAACTGTTGTTAGCCACAATGTCGATGCTAATAATCAACCCTGAGGTCCCTTGGAAGAGCAGTCAGTGATCTTTTAACTACTGAACCATCTTTCCAGCCCCATGCCAGGGTGGGAGACAATAGGGGGATTTGCCCAATAATAAGGATTTTGTCTTTATGACCTGGTCACTACATAAGGTTCTACCTCCTAACCGTAGTGGAAAGACAGGCCCCCAGGGGCAATTCTAGGTGACCAGAACACTAGAAGGGCTCCCAACATTGATCTGGGATCAGCAGCAGAAGCCATGACGGAGAACTCTGGGTACAAAAGCTGTCAGATCTTCAAGAAGAAACCCCCAAATAGCCAGTTTCTGCAGCCAGGATCCTGCTGCCTTTTGACAGTCCATGACCACAATTGTCTGAACATGCAGTGACCTTAGAGCTGACAGCCAGGTGTCCTGGCATAAAGGGAATGAAACACACACACACACACACACACACACACACACACACTAGCTTTTGCGGAACACACATAAGAACTCCCAATGCAAACTGGGACTTTACTCAGGGCAACCTGGAATGAAATTCTAGACAGCCAACAGACAAAAGCAAACTCAGACCCCTGGCTAGCATGGCAAAGCCAAAGCTTCAGGAGTGCGCTCCCTGCATGGAAAGAGATAGAGCTGTGGGCCTGCTTGGGCTCTTTCTTCTCTTTGGTTTGACAACTCTCTCCAGCTTTGTCACATTTGACACCTCATTTGTATGTACCTGCATTCAATCAGAGCCCCCAGGTTCTCCAGGCCCTGTGCAGACAGGGGAGGCTGCTTGTTGGCCAGAGAGGAGAAGGAAAAGTCAGCAGGGAGTGTAGTTCCTTGCAGGCTATGGCACTGGCCAAGGGCCAGCTCCCAGATGCCCCCACTCTCATGGGAAGAAGAAGCCTCAAGACTCAGATCCTGCTCTGGCCAGGGATCTTAGACACTTGCCAGGAAAGAAAGACTGCTCTAGAGACAGAACCTGTGTGAGTTCCCACTGTGCCAACTCTGGAGGACCAGAGTCAAGGCTCCTGCTCTGAGACCCACCCACCCTTCCTGCTCAGGCCTTGTCAGTTACCTGCTCTCTGCAGACCTGTTCTGTGAGGGGTTGCTCTTTCTGGGGTTCCCAACATCCTCCAGGAGCTGCAGGGCTAGCTCAACAACAACAACAACAACAACAACAACAACAACGTCTTAGCTGGGATTTCTATTGGTGTGATAAATACCTTAATCGAAAGCAATTTGGTTGGAATGTCAGGCATTTCCTTTGAAGGGTCTGCTCCTAGGCAGTGGTCAGGTAATCTCAGCTTGTGTTTCACCCGGCAACCAGGTATTGCCTCAGGGCACACTACTGAGCCTCAGGCCTCTTAGTAAATTTATTGAGGGCCAGAATTCTACTCCAGCAGGTGATATTGGTTGGGTATGAAGAACTTCCTTTGGGTGACCTGTTCATATTTGATTTAGCATGGCTGGCCCCCACAGTTAGGATGGCATCAGGTTGTTTACTATCACAGAGCTAGGCGACCACCTCCCGTGTGGAGGGTGAAAACTGTGCCTTGAAAGATGCTCAGATTCTCTGACCGCCAGACAATGTGGGCTGTGGGCCTGCATAATCTGGTCCCACACATCTTCTCTCTAGGTACCGAATTCCTGCTCAGTCTTCCAGGCTTCCTCCATCCTGAGAGTCGAGTTTCTCTTCCCTGTTTCAGAAAGGGATGTGGAAACCCACAGCATCCTTTGCTAGTTTTCAAAATTGCAGGGGAAAGCTTTCGACAGGGCGAGCATTTGCCTGCTGACCACGGTCACGCGATTGTCTTGGCCATGTGGACCCATATGACACTCGCCGGGGTCCTGCAGCTGTTTGAGCTTCTGATCCACGATGGTTCTCTGAACCTTATCCTGCCTGCATCGTGTAGCCGCTGCCACGTGGACTTAATAAATAAATGCTGACTGTTATTCTTAAAAAACGATTCCCGGGCGGGTTGGCGGAGCCCGCCATGAGAAAGCGGCTACAGGAGGGCACGGTGGCGGCAGGTAACAGACACGTAAACACAGGAAATAGCCGTAAGTATTTATTAAGGAAGAGGGAGAAAGAAAGACAGAGAAAAGAGATAAAAGGAGAGAGGAGAGATAAAAGAAGAGAGAGACAGAGAAAACGCGTGCGCACGCCAAGGAAGCAGAAAGAGGAAGGGTCCCAAGATGGCTACGGGCAGGTCAGAGGTTATGGGAGTGGGCGTGGCTAGGGCAGGGACCGAAAGAATAACACTGACTGAATCAGGAATGGGATTGGGGCTCCATCTATCACACTGTTTCTCACCAGCCGCAATCCAGTCAGGACAAGTTTGACATATTTTCATGTTGCTCTGTTTCTCTTGTGTTTTCTTCTTTCTTATATTTTTGTCTTTTGCTTTTTTTTTTTTTTTTTTGATTTTTTTTTTTTTTTTTCAATAAAAACTTAAGGATGGAAAAGAAAGATCGTAGGGCCGGGGCAGAAACTCTTTCCCATCTGATTGGCGATGTTATTTGACTTAGTTTTAAATCGCCACCTGAGTTCATTTCATGAGAGAGCAAATATTTCACACAGAACCCAGGAACAGAAGGTAAATTTTATCTTCTCCTTGGTCAGGCAGGCCTGTATGATGAAATAGATGGCTTTACTTTTAATTTAAAAGGAAAGAGAAGAATTGAGCAAATATTTTAACTGTAGACTATTTGGACAGCTTTTATTAATAAAATCCATTCCCAAGCCAAGCCTGGAGGCGTGGCCTTAGGACTGGAAACAAGAATAAAGCCAATCCACTGTTTATTGAAATAATATTTCTAAACCTGTTCACAAACAAAACGCAGCAAAGTCCAGGAGCGGCTTCCGCAGGGAAGAATGGTAGAGACCCAGTGACTCATTGTTTGCCTTAGCAGTTTTGATGCATATTCTCGCCAGCTCGTTTGTTCCCACTTGATTCCCAACTTCCCATCTTCTTTCTAATGAAAAAAAAAAATCATGTTTGAGAAATTGCTCCGTATTCTGCCTTCTCAGAGAGAACTCTCACAGTGGAGCCCTGATTGATTAAATTTTCGCAGAGCTGAATTTTGCTAAATTACCTCTAGGAAGCAGGCGGGGGAGAGAGGAAGGGAAATGCATACAGATATTAACAGGCACGATGGATCACTTCTCAGTGCATTAGAAAATCAAGCTGTGGATTGCTTCCCAGCTCTCTCTCTCTCTCTCTCTCTCTCTCTCTCTCTCTCTCTCTCTGAGTCTTATACATGCTAGGCAGACTCTTGGCTACTGAGCCAACTCTCTTACTCTTCCTTTAAATTGTCTTCAGGAAAATATGTTGTTGTATCCAGAGAAAAAGAATAATGGTTTTGTTTTATTTAAGAAGTATTTTGTTTTAAAATTATGTGCTCCCCCTCTTTCTTTGTGTGTGTGTATGTGTTTGTGTGTAGGCAAGAAGAGGGTATCAGAGTCCATGTAACTGGAATTACAGGAGCTGGTAAGCCACCAGACGTGGATGCTGGAAGCCAAACTTGGGTCCTCTGCAAGAGAGGGGATGCACTCCTAAGTGAACCATCTCTCCAGCCCCAAGAGAACATTGTTAGGTTGAAGTGTCCAACTCATCCCTGGCCAATGCACAGGAACATAAGGACTGTGCTATAGATGCGTGGGACCGAGAAGAGGAGCCTGCTAACCCCATCTCACCTGCGTATCTGACTGTGGAGGAATGGAATTCTGACTTGGACTTAGTCTGCATTCTTTGCTGCTGGAGGCCACCAGTCCAGTGTGGGACAAGGCTCATTCACTGGCTCTCACACCTGTCAGGGTCAGAGGCCCCACTGACTCTGTCCTGGCTTCCAGAGAGCTCATTCCAAGGCATTGAAGCGATGCAGACAAAGAATCTTTTCAGTGCCCCATGAGCAAAGAGGAAGAGAGTGGCAATAAGGAAGAAATTGTTCATACCCCACCTCTTACAGAACAGGAGTGCCTCTCCCCAGCTAGAGGGGCTGCCATCTTGGCCAAGGAGGGAGGTGGCAGCGACCGTGTCTCTCCATAGATTCACCAGGCTCTCCATGAAGTGTGGAGACTCAGTCATGACTGCAAGGCAGAGGCACCCGAAGATGCTTCCTAAGGGGAAGCCCGTGCCCTTGCCTGTGAGGAGAGCCCTAACAAGGAGCGAGGCTGGAGGCTGAAGCTGATCACACTGCCTTTCTCTGCTCACACTGGCCTCTTATGGAACTCTTTCAGCAGCAAGGGGAAGCCAGAGTGCTGAGTGTTAGGGAGGCCCACTGCTCACTCTTTCTGAAGTTAAAATAGTGTACATATGCACACATGACTCCATATATGCATCATGTACATACATTGAAAAATAAAGAAGATGTTGGACATTACAATGTATTTTTATACATCGACACATACCTAGATACATATTCATACACATTGAGCATAGCGTGTACATTTGTGTGTGTGCATTTCCAGATAAATCATTACCTTCTTTTCTCCAGCAGAAGAGACCGTGATGCACGAATGTCCAGCTCAGCCTCTCTCAGCTGAGGCTATATGAGAACTATTCCCCAAGAACGCATGTAATGAATTAAGTCTGCCCTATGCATTTGCAATGATACTAGTCATGAATTAACATGGGTCTAAGCACGCAGAATGGTGCCGGCTAACCGCCGTTTTCACACTATCTTCGGACAAAGTGGCCATTTGCATAATTTTCTGCGCCCGTCTTCAAGTCTTCTCCTTTAAATGACCTTGGATATCTTTCCCTATTTAGACCAGGCGAGTCACAGGAATAGAACGGCACTAAAATACTTCACCTCTGCACTGTGCAAGCGGACTCCGGCTTCTCCCCTCTGCCCTCTCCATCGCCCAGGGGAGGAGAACTTCCTTCTCACACAGTGAGGACCCAGCCTGGAGGTGGCGCCACAGCAGCTGAAAGGGCGCTTTGGAAGCGTTCCACCTCAGCTGCGAGAGAAGTGAGACTGGTTTGTTCCTCTAGAGCCTCACCACTTTCTGTAGCAATATAAAATGTACTCCACTTTAGAGCGTGTGCAGATGCTGCCTAGGTGATCCAAACAATGCAACGCTAAAGGCTGGAAGAGCTGCTCAAAGACAGGATGCATTATTTATGCTTCAACGGAGTGATGCACTTGGGGCTTTGGCAACCCTGGCTGGCTGGCAGTTTACAGGACTGAACTCATGGTTATCATTAGGAAAAATCCCAACGCTTTCACATGTATTGCGCAGTTGCCGTGTGTCAGGTACAACCAGGGATTAAACGGAAGCGCATATGTTATAGTAGTTTAAGAATAATTCTGATGGTGATAACAGTAGCTGGGTAGTTGTTCTTGCCATCACACAGCCCCTCCCCGCTCCCCAGTGGCAGCTCCTGTCCCTCAGGGGGGAACCACTCCACCATTGGAGCCTTTCCCATGTCCTAGATGGAAGACAGGATTCAGGCCTCGGCTATTAAAGGTGCTGGGTGTTCCTCTGTCTGCGTGATTGGTTTAAGATCCAGTCCTACAGTTGACACAGCTTCAGAGGCTTCAGATTTCTTTATGAAAGCCTTGGAGAAGGGCCAGTCTGGCGGTTCCTAAGGCTAGAACCCAAGCAGTCTGCAGCAAATGGAGAAGGGCAATTGAGTGCTAACCACAGTTTAAGCTACTAAATCTAAGCCAGCCAGCCTCAGGGCCTTTCAGGTTTCTGAGCCCATAAGTTTCTGTTTGTCTTAAGCTGATTGGATTTTTTATTTGTTTTTGTTTTTATTTTTTTTACCATTTAAAACTAGGGAAGAATTTATTAAAGCAGATGACAGTCACACAGAGAATTGTGCCTGTGTGTTGGGGGAAGACAATGGGCTTTTGTGAAGAGGGAACTGCTCCTAGGACCTTAAAGAGGGAGCCCTGCCTTGACCTTGGCCCATGCAGGCAGTAACAACTGAACTAAGACTAGGGAGCACCCTTTACTAGAGAGCATCTTTTACTAGGGAGCACTCTTTGCTAACTCAATCACTCTATCAAACAAAGTGAGTTAGCCTTCGAGACTTTAACCTCTCCGCACCTCACTTTAGGCTAGGACTCTAGTGCTTACTTCTACCAGCCAGGCTTCGTCCTGCAGATGCCAAGGGACGGTCACTGCGCTGTGAGACACTCATGTTTTTGGATGTTTCCTCTATGATTCCCTGAATTCCACCTACCCATTCAGAGAGTAAGGCTGCATTTCCAGAAGATGTCTACAGAACTCTGTCTGGCAGTGGCCGTGTGCCCATGTCACTCCCATTTTAAGAACTAAAATTATTTTCTAGTCCACCCCTGTCGATTGCGTTGGGTGGGCTACTCAGTCTAGGGGTTTGTAACCCACCCGCAATCAGTTACTCCAGGGTCTCGGAGGGGCGCTACCTGGAAGGGAATGAGCTAAGACAGAAGAAGGAGGCCAAGCAGATTTGTCAAAGCCTCCGTTTATTAGGTACGGGTAACAGTTTATATATGGTAAGGAATGGGGGGTAGGGTAACTGGATTCTTGCCTCGTGGTTCCGGGGTCACATAGGCCAGGAGGTAGGCCAGGAGTCACAAGTTGCCACACCTGGTTCCCTGGATAGCTGGAATGTGAGGCGGATTCTGCTAACAGATAAGTTAATTGGGTGTGGGGTTCTCTGCAGACCCCCTAGGGTGATGGTTCCTGTAATTATAGGGGGAAATGGCTCCTGACACACCCCTTTGAGGCCAGGCAGGCCTGTTGTGTGCTTTGACTAAAAGAATGTGGACGGGATACTGTGTCAGGCCAGGGTATACTGTGTCTGTCGAGATCCAGGTGTCTCGTGTGACTACGGTGAGAAGCCTCAAGTGATGAGACAATCTGTGGGCAGAGAGAGGACAAGGAACTAGATACATGACTGAAGGAATCTCTTTGGATGATCTGCCATGGTCAGGCTCCAGATGATTCCAGAAACAAACAACACCTGTCTACATATCCTTGAAATTCAAAGAGGAAGCCACACAGTGAGACCCACCTCAAGCAAAACAAGGAAATGTAATCAATTATTGCTTAAAGCCACTGAGACTTGGGGAGGTTTCTTTAGAAGCACTAATGGACACTTGGAACAGATAGATAATTTACCAAGCTAAGTTCTTCTTAAAGTATAGTGGATGTGGTTAGTGTTTTTAAAATATTGAATTTCATATAATGGCATGTACCATATTAATCAGAGGCCTCCACAAAAAAAAAATTGAGGCCATTCGTGGCTGAGTGGGGAAAAGCTTTTGGAAGGACAGAGAATAGTTCATGAATCATCACAAGGCCTAAAAATTGATCTGTGGGGAAAAAAAAAACAACTAAAAGTCATGACCCCCAAATCCTTCTGGAGAAAGAAGGCACTAACCCATAGGAATGACAGGGCATCCCAAGTTTTGGCATCAACAACTTCCAAAGTTCGTTCTATTGGTATTTCTCTCTTTTTTTTTTTTTAAAGATTTATTTATTTATACAGTATCCTGCCTGTAGGCCAGATGAGAGCACCAGATCTCATTTTAGGTGGTTGTGAGCCACCATGTGGTTGCTGGGAATTGAAATCAAGACCTCTGGAAGAGCAGTCAGTTCTCTTAACCGCTGAGCCATCTCTCCAGCTCTGGTACCTCTGATAGGCAGAGTTGGTGGCATAGGTTTCCATCCTGGCTCCAAGGGAGGCTGGAGGAATAAGTTGTCAATATTTCAGACTTAGCCTTCAGGAGTATCCATTGTCCTCATCAACTCTCTAAGGGACAAGCGTGATTCCTCCAAAGACAGAGCTCTAAAGTCCAGAAGAAAAAAATGTCTATCTCTGTCACCCGAAACTGATGCCTTACTATAAGTTTCTGCAAGCAACTGCATATAGAGGGATATTTATTTCACACTGTATCATTTCTATATTATTCCAACCCATTTTCAATAAATAAAACATTCTATATTAACATTAAATTTGTCATCCGTATTCCAATTAATA